CATCATCATCATCATTATCTAAAATAGAAATGTTTTTAATTTTCTTCTTATTGCGGTAATATTATATGAACTATATTTTACAGTAGATTATTTTTTAAATCATCTTACCTATTTCGATGAGAGGGATGCTTTGTCCATTGCGTGGAGGCGGCGCATTATTCGGCGGTTCGATTCGCGCTCTTCCTACAAAAAAATAAAAACATTTTTAATAAAGGAAATTTCCACCATTCGATCAATATTTTTATTTTTCCAACTTACGCGCAGGAACAACCTCGTCTTCATCCTCCGCGTGACGTCGTTGTCGCCACAGACTCAGACGCCCACGTCGCACGAATTGCACGGGATTAACGTGTCAGTTGACGATTTGACGCTAAAAATAAATATTATAATTTAATTAATAATAATAACAATAAATATATATTTTTTAAATGTATAATTTTGTTTCAGCTCAGCTTACCTACTCCTACTCCTGTGTTACCGTTGATCCTATGACGAAACTCATCAATGTGACCACCAGCGTCATTCTCCTCATGATTGAAACACTCGCGCACTTCTATATGCCACGAGATTGTTAGCGTTATCACACTATCACAGTGACCCAGTTTATGCATAATGCATAGTAACGTACTGGAGCACTCTCGCGTAAAGTTCTCAAAAACTTTGTAATTGTTTTCATTTTCGTCTGATAATTTCAGTATATAGTCTCTTGCAATCAATTTTTGATTAAGATTGCAAGCGACTATAAAAAATTTAGATAATAAATCACGAAGAGCCATTTTTTCGCACTCGCAATAAGATTTATCGAAAGCACGCCCTCGGAAAACAGTTCGACACAACGAGCAGTTGAAGCGAAACTAGAGTTAAATTTTCAACCTACGCACTATTTATTCACTCGAAAATACTCTAAAAAAGGCGTTTCCGTATTTCCTTCTTCTAAGTTTGTTTAGCTGGTAACTAAGGTTCTCTATATTTTTTTTGTAAATACTTAAAAAGTTGACTATTTCTTATGTTACGTCCGGGAGGACTCCACGATTTCCTCGTTTCGAGATTGCTTAATAGGGTGATCGTTGAGACGAGATGTAAGAGAAAATGCGAGAGTTAACGGTCACCGATCGGCGAGCGTGACAATATGTAGAAAATGTCGTTGAAAGCCTTCCCAACGATTTTGGAAAGATAATAAAAACATAGATACCCAGGATCATCCGATCTGTAGTAATAAAATTTATGACAAATTACAAACCATGTCGAGAATGTTCGTTTCGAAACTCGTTCAGTTTAAATAAGTAATATCTAAAAATGGGTCGGGAATCCTGGGTAAATAGAAAGTCGCATTCCCAAGCGCATGTAACGTGTTGAAGGGCGTCTTTTCGTTAACAACAGGAAGTAGTAAAATAGAAATAGCTTGACAAGAATAAATTTTAATTTTTGCCGACGATCATAAAATCCTGAAGAAATACTGTCTAGACGAGAAGACGCACGTTCAAGTACCTAATAAAAGAGAAATCGGAAATAAGAAAAAAAGAGGAATGTGAGTTTTCAAATTGTCATGATCAGGTCGTTCGGAAGGTACGATGAGTGAAATACCCCTTCTCTTCAGAGAGAATACCAAAAACTAAACTCGCCAATGGGTGACCGTGAATCTGAAAATCTAGAAAAGGTGATGACGTATCATCAATAAGTTCTCAGGGGATTGAAACTTGCAGTGCGGGCGGAGCAAATTTTGAAAGTAGTTACCAGTAAGAATATGAAATACAAATTTCCTACAAAAGCAGAAAATTCCTCCAACTCAAATCCTCGATTTTTCCCACTCAACATGTCTCATCAGAGAACTACCCTCTGAAACTCTCTATATAAACCGTGACACTGCGAGACTCGCTCTCTTCATTTTTGATCCTGCTCTGTGTTCGGTTTTAAAACAGTCAGTCATGCTCTCGCAATTCATTTCGCTAAGATAAGAGTTTGTTCAGTGCATAACAGAAGATCTTCCCCATTACATCAAGTACGAGTTGTCTGCAAGCTACTCCAAGTCCAGGACACTAACTAGAAAACCAAAGCCTACTGCAACAGTAAGTCTTTTCTTCCATATTCTTCTATTTAGTCGCAAATCTGTAATAACGTAATTTACAACATAATGCCACGAAGGGGAAACAATCGCCCGTTTAGAGGTTGGCTTAGAGATTGATATCCCTGTATTCATCCCGAATTCCGCCTATCCATATCTAGTACCGAGTTCTTCAATCTTTTTCCTCCGTCCTCCGATACTATACGCGAATTATAATGTAATAAAAAACTCAGTCAGTACTGCTCACTTAACATTCATTCTCTGGCGGCATGTATAACTATAATGTTAATAGCGTCTAGCGAACCAAAATCT